TATGCTGAAATTAGGGACGTAGTAGTGTGGTTGCTCAATAAATAAAATAAAAACCAGGCTAGAAATATACAAAGTATTAATTGGAGTTAAGTGGTGCCACATTGTACTGTAGATAACTCTATAGGTACATATGTATATATGTAGGTTTCACTTTTTATAGAAGGTTCTTATTTATTCAAAATCGGTAATTTTTTTGCGAGGTACATTGTATATCTCATAGAGCTAGATAACCAAATTAACTACTTACATTCATTTGAGTAATCAATATTCGAAATCTCCTCCTCAACCTCGCCAAGTAACTCTATAAATTCATTAACAGTTGCGTAATTATTGAATTTTACAGCATATACTTTCGTGCACTACCAGGTAGCTGTCTAATCTTAAAAATTACTTTCTTCTTGATTTCTTCTAGCCCTAACGATTCTAAATCGGTCGTGTCAACTAAGTTTAGAACGCACTTTTCCCCTTTTATGTACGCCTGGACATATCTCCGCATATTATCTCTGCATGCAAAGGCACAATTAACAAATGTTATTGATAAGCTAGAAGGGTTGTTGCTAAACGTAGTTAGTTGTGGCGATTCTTCTTTCAATATTTTCCGGAAGTGAACCCGAGCTAGAAGATACGCATCTCCTAGCTTTCCATGACGAGCGTATGTCCCATCTTCGTTTATGGAGAGGTCAAACAGCACTTTGGACTTGAGCTGTTGTGGAAAATTAATACTTAAACTTTGTTAATGGGATAAGCAGTTAGACTAATAATAAATTCAAGTACCTCTTCTAAAAAAGTTAACGTAGAAGAAGATCTCTGCCACTGCACATCAGTTGGAACCCCACGCTTGAAAATCCAATGTTTTTGCGCCTTGTTACGCTCTTCCAACAGAAAGTCTAATCCCTGACCTGTTGTGCTTCCCTTAAGTCTGAATCCCATCCTTTTAGCTGGGCCTGCTCCAACTTCAGGCAGTGAAAGTTGATAAATAATGTCTCTAACTGTCACGATCCGGTATTTTGGATGATTGAATCCAAAAAAGATTCCAGAAGCTTTAAACAACCTGCCTTGGCAATTTCGTCATTGCATTGCCTCACACCAGCACGGAACAGGAAAACAGGGTGAAGTACATTTAAAACAAAATCAGCAGACATGATCCAGTTTGGACATCGAAGTTGTGCAACCCATTCGGCAAAGTTCTCTGCAGAAACCTCTTGTTTGCATGATTTTGCTTTCCTAATGTACAAGTGCACTAGTTCATCCGAAAGCGAAACATATACAATCTGCAATAAACAAGGGATTAGAAGGGTAACGGGTAGAGCTGGATAACCAAAAATTTGTTCGCTACCTGTAATATCTGCCACGATTTATGATGATCTAAAGCTTTTTTACAATAATCAAGAGCTCTTGGTGTTGTGAACCCCAACATCTCTGCGACTGGTCGAATGAAGATGTCGAAAAAGGCCCCAAATATGGATCTAACCAAATTAAGTTCCATGTGTCCAGCACCTGGTTTTAGGACGATCTTCTGAAATTTCTTCCGGATGTCATGACCTGTTGATTCGCAGCTAATATTTTTCCCTACAATTCCGCAATTCTTGCATTCTTTCCAGTCTTTTATTAGGTTAGCTGCTATGGTATAAGGGGCCCCATCACAAACAACGGTGATCCAGTGTCTATCTGGAGACGTGGCTTCGCTCATATTCACAATGACATCTAGAACTTTTGCTACCGTTGCATATGAATTTGGGTTGAGAAGAAGGTTCTCCATGTCGAAAGCGCGACAAGAGCTTGCTGATTCGGGAATGCGATGATATTCCAAACCGTTCTCATATTCTGTAGTGGCCATCACTCTCCTGATTTCTTCATTCTGCAGTCCTCCATTGCCCATGTGTTGCTCCTTTTCGACTATGTCAAGTCTGCGTTGGATCCACTTGAGTCGATGTAGCTGATGAATCCATGTGCATCGCCTTTCAACATTTTCATATTTTTGCCAAAGATAAGGATCTTCAAAATTGACGTCGGTTAGAATAGGATGATATTGCATTCGTAAATCGACGCCATCTTCTTTGTAAACTGCAAAGGACGTTACTATTGACGTAGGTTGTGTGGCTCCTACGCTCACCCTAAAATCCCGTCCAACAATTTGCTGATTGTCGAAAGCGACATAAATGTCACCTTGTGGGAAACAAGGCTTGTCCTTGCTGATTTCTGATACCGTTTCTTCCAGGTAGCGATAACTTCCCGACGGTTGCAAGTTCCCAAAAATATGACAAGCGGTTCTTGATCTGGCGTATGAGTGAAGTACGATATTTTGGGCAACTGAGATTGGGTGGATAAAACGTTGGTTTATTACTAGACAGATTGAATGTAGCGCCGAAACGAAGTAGCGGTCCGTACGCCTACGATTTTCAGCAGACAAAAACCTGCCAGACGAAAAGTATATTAGAAAATGAACATATTAATTTATACGTATTTAATTTCCGTACTTTAGATCACATACGCCGCTCAAGAATGCCTTGAAGATTGGACAGTCGGCTTGTTCCCATACACTGGAGTAGTCAACTTGCATCAACTGGTCCTTCTTATCCAACGCCATCGCTGAATTCGACGAAAGTTTCCTAAACGCATCCTTTTCCCTTTCCCCTATTGCTGCGGATAACTGGTGTAGTTGTATGTCCGAAAACGAATTACTCCGTAATAATGACAACACTTCTTGAAATATTTCTGAAATAAAATAGAGCTAGATAACTAAATACTAGTCTAAGGTAACGAAAGTATACTGACAATTTTTTGACTAACCCTCTGTGTTTGTTGATATGAAGGAATTTGATAAATATGTAGATGACGTGGAAATTGTGATTGATGGCCTTGTATCTTCAGCCAACTTAATGCAAGCGCCACAAATGCTTGCAATTCTGTCACGCCTTGGCTTGATCCACCCCGAGGTTATAATAAAAGTCTTGAGGGTTGAGTTGAGGTATCTTCCGGTCACGAACAAAATCAAGCTCTCAGAAAGTGAGGGGTACTTTGCGATGGCTTTCAAATGTGCAGTTGATGCACAAATCCGCTGACGCTTCCCCCTGTTTAAAATTAAACTGTAATTTAGATATGAGTTTCTTCAATTCGTTTAGATAAATACTAAACTTTAACGCCCGCATGGCGGGCATGCATGCGTGCTGAAGTTAGTACGGAAACAACATGTATGAATATGGATCTGAAAGGTTCGAGTGGATGTGAGCCTACGTGGGCAACATCACAATTATTGCACAGAAATGTGATTCGAAAATGTTCAAATTACCTTTTCCTAACTTGCTAAATTATATTAACACTTCCAATGGTGCTTTTGCGCAGATGACGCGTGCGCAAAATATGTAACCCGTACATTTTAGGAACGTTAAAATCAGCATTAGTAGATACGACCCACTGAACACTCACAGTGTCTACACACACACAGAGACACATACAAACCCACACACACACAACCACACACACACAAACAAACAAAACCACACACACACACACAGACACACACACACATACACACACAAAGACACACACACACAACCACACACACACAAACAAACAAAACCACACACACACACACACACACACACACACAGACACACACAAAGACACACACACACACACACAAACACACACACCCACAAACACAAACATACACATACACACACACACACAGACACACACACACACAAACACAAACACAAACATACACATACACAACCTCACACACACACACAGACACGTACACACCCACACACACACACACACACACACACACACAAACACACACACACACACAACCATACACACACACAACCACACACACACACACAACCACACACACACACACACAACCATACACACACACACACACAACCTCACACAAACACTACAACACACAAACAACCATACACACACACACAACCACACACAGACACACAAACACACACAAACACTACAACACACAAACAACCATACACACACACACAACCACACACAGACACACAAACACACACAAACACTACAACACACAAACAACCATACACACACACACAACCACACACAGACACACAAACACACACAAACACACACACACACACAGACAGACAAACACACACACACACACAGACAAACAAACACACACAAACACACACACACAGACAAACAAACACACACAAACACACACACACAGACAAACAAACACAAACACACACACACAGACAAACATACCACACACACACACACACAACCATACACACACACACACAACCACACACACACACAACCATACACACACACACACACACACAACCTCAAACAAACACTACCACACACACACAACCATACACACACAAACACAACCATACACACAACCATACACACACACACAACCACACACACACAGAACAACCACACACACACAACCATACACACACACACACACACACACACACACACACACACACACAACCTCACACAAACACTACCACACACACACAACCATACACACACACACACACAACCTCACACACACAAATACAACCACATACACACAACCATACACACACACACACACAACCTCACACAAACACTACCACACACACACAACCATACACACACAAACACAACCATACATACACACACACAACCATACACACACACGCACACAACCTCACACACACAAATACAACCACATACACACAACCAGGGTATTTAGATAACTAATTTACATTTACCTGGGGGTCGAATGCAATTTAGTGGACATTTCGCTAAGCGTCGCACAATAATTGAATTAAAATAGACAAACGTGTCACGACAAGAAACAAACAGAAGTCTAACACATAAGGAGACTTGGAAGTGTTGATGTTATGGAGTACAACCGGCCAATGACAGGTGGTGATTAAAATAAATACTTGCCAACATGTGTTTTTTAGCTGATGATGGTGGTGGTTGGAACCCACAAAGAATCTGGGCTCAGCACTTTATCTGCTAACAAACACATGTTGGCAAGTACTCACTTTAATCACCAGCTGCCATTCACCAACATCTTGAACTCTATCTATTATTTTGAACTTTGTTGAGTCTAATTCGATTTCTTCCATCGCCATGTCAGAAGAATTAAAATCTACAAGGTAAGAAATTTGGTAGGATTTTTATTATTTTTATACATTTTGATGTTTTGAGGTTTTCATTACAAAAATTGCAGGGGTTGTCCAAAGCTGATTTTGGTATCAGAAGACGGCCCAACAAATCCGATAACACAAGATGATCAGTTACCAGACTCACTTGCAGAGTTCCAACCATACTCTTGCTGTAATTGGATCTTCCGAAATTTTCGCTGAAGACGACCAGGACAAGGGGCTTGATAGCGACCACGATGAAGCCCAAAGTGATGGCCATGAGGATGATGAAAACAAAGCTGCAAATGGGCAGTTGAACCAGAAGAAAAAGAAACCGCGGTCAAAGTTAGTGACGTTTAATTCTGTACTTATTTGGTTATCTAGCTCTATATATAATTTTCTTTAAAAGATCCAGGCCACAGTACATCAAAAACACGGATCACCGCACACAGCATGCCAAGAGAAGTGGCCTACAATTAGTGAAAAAGGTGATGGTTACGACATATCATGTATTTTATAATTATTGTAATGTATGTATGTTATCTGTAGATTAAGGACTACGCAGCAAAGACCGGGGCGAAAGTTTACTTGCAAACCGAGTACAGAGGGGCAAAGTCATCCCACACGTTCTCTTACGGGGAATACTGGAGCCTGACGGGGGAGGTTGCTGAGAAAGCTACAATAACTTCAGCTAGTGTCAAGGAAGCGGTGGAAGAAGCCGTCAAGGGTACCTTCACCCCAATCTTGAAGGAGATCACTTCCGGATCTAATAATGCAGCGTTTTCAGCGGTTATTTATACCTCAACTTCTTAGTAGCTTCTTATCTATAATAATCCTCCATGAAATATGAATTATTTGTTTACGTAGAGCGTCCTGTCACCAAAAAAGCATGCCACTTCAAAGGCTCAAAATTGTTTAATTTGTGGCAAGACTGAGGTTGTCAAGGACTTTATAGTCTTTGATTCTAAATTAATTGGATGCACTGGAGATGGAAAGAATTGCTCAAAATGGGTAGGATATAAAAAACTCCTGTTATTGCAAATCCTCCGTTATTAAATCATTTAGGTACACGCGGATTGTTTGGGATTTCCGGGCATCACTAACAAGGAAATCAAAGAAATGCCCAACTACTTCTGCCCTGATCACTTGGCATTCGGACGCAAGCGAAAGGGTGTCAAGAACCACTATGTAGGTGCTGAACCGGAACCCTCAAAAAAGCTTGGAAAACGAGGACATTGAAGCAATTATTTAATGATGCATCATAATTAAAGTGCAATTGCTTAATCTGAACAAGTTTACATATGTGCAATTATTTACAAGTACAAGTATTTACATTTGCAGAATAAGTTTAGTTACAATATGGGATGATTAGTTTGATAAATAAAATCTTTAAAAAAGCCCAAATCGTTAATTCTCGCTTGTCACAATATGCAATTAGTTCCATGTCATAATTCCATATCATTTAATAATCGTCCAAATTTGTACTGCACATCTTTTGTTTCCGTGAATTAATTTAAACATGTTGGCTCTTTCTTTTACTCTGTTTTTGCCGGGCTCTAACGCTTGTAAATATTACTATGCAATTTGAGAAAAAATAAACTTCTATTTTCATTCTTATCCCACGGTGGATTTCAAAACCCCATGGTCATTTTATTAATTTGTGTATTCTGAATTTAACTAACTTGGTTAGAAAATCGTCCAGTTTCACCCGGGATCGTCCGAGCATCCGAAATCTATTACAAGCTAATACTAGCTGGTTAAAAGCTTACTTTAGCCGGTTGCAGCGGACAATTTTAGCTGCCCGGTTAGTTTTAGCTTCTTCAGCTTATTTTAGCTGGTACCTCTTTTACGTTTCAGACCCGCTAGTTTTAGCGGATAACCAGCTAAAATTTACCGACTTGCCTTGACTGCCATACAGATCTGATCGAGTATGCAGAATAAATCAGAAAAGGTATCGTATATTTCAAGTTCTTCCAAGATAACCCTTTAAATTTCTGAGTAGTCGCTTCCCATGTCACAAAATTGGAAAGAAAAAAGTTGCTTAAAATTAGTTGTAGTTGAATTAGCGGCAGGTAATTTAAGATTGACGGCATTTTAAAATAAAAATGTGAAGTACTGAAATGCTTTTAAAGGTTTTATGATTTGTACTCTGAAAATAGATCTACAGTTCTACAAGCTTCATCACTTCCGACGGTAAAGCTGGGACGAACTTCTGTATGGAATAGTTCAAAAAGTTAAATACCTAGTAAAAAGTCTTAAATTCTGTATCCAACCATGAGAGACATGTTGGCCTTTTTATTTTCATACTTGATGGTAAGATCGAGCACGAAACTCTTGTTTGAGCTACGCAGTGTCCCAAATCCATCTTGTAGGAAGTAAATCTGTCAACTAAATGACTTTAACCCGAACACCATCTACATACACGGTAAGATCGATGAACACAAATGTGTCATATAGGATAATTGACAGAAATATACGGCAATTAGGATTTTCCCTTGACTTTTGTTTAGTCCTAAAAATAAATACGTTCGTAATAACTTAATCGTTTAGTAGACGTTGATCCACCGTATGGTGCAATAAAGCAGAATAATATAATTCCGTAACCTATGTACATATACATACATATTCTTTTCCATGAGACTATTAAGTAAAAATTGTTCTTACTTTATTCGTGGGTATTTAAATAAATCCTTCATGAAATGTATTCGCTACGTGACATCAGTAATTAGTTAATGAGTTGTGCCATCGTAAATTGCAATATGACTATTTTCAAGAAATTGGCCGAATTACCAATCCTCACTTTTTGAACGGTACCAGACCGGTAAACCCTTTTATGAAAAAAACAACGCATCAAGATATGTATCCATCGGGCATATGTACATATCTAGTCTGCATTCTTATAAAACAAGTAGGGACAATGGGACCAAATTTGTGGCTTCTTTTTACGTTTCATATTATAAACTGAACTAATATCGCACTCTCGATTGCGAATATGTATATAAATGTGAAGGATGATAAGATGATACTAAAATAAATTATGTTCGTATCAGTAAACGGTATTATGTTTCCAACCAGGTTGTATGTATTTATTTACAAGAGAAGCATAGAGATGTTTCTTACAAGAATATATTTCTCCGACTCCCTCGTAAGTGCATTTTAGATCTTGATACCATCTCCACTTAACCCCAGGACTGGAAATACCTAAGGGGGCACAGAAGAATAACATGAAAACCCCGTTAACATAAAACATGGCTATTACATTAATTAACTCAACTTGTTCAAATTCATTTGTCGGATAATGTTTAATTTTACTGATTCGCTTGTCCATTAGATTGCTATCTTAGCAGGTAAATCAGTTAACGTCTTGTACATGTACATACTATTTTAAAAAAATTAGAAAAATTAAAAATAGGAATAAATTAGGAATGTTTATTATTTTTGTTAAATCAACTTATTTACAAGTATTTACATATTTGCCTTACATCGAAGTCTGGTATTTCGTATTTCTATAGGAATCTCGAGAACTATGCATTTCGACTAATAGCAGTATAGATAAATTTTTAGCCGTTGAGAACTCCTGGTCTAAATAAATCTATAATTATTAAATATGGCTGTGGCGATAACGTAAAAGCAAAAAAAAAAGTAAATCTATCATTTCATCCTCCTAATCTGCAATCAGTAACAAGCTCACAGTTTAATCCATAATAAAATTAACTGCGACCAATGGGGTCGTGACATTGCCCAAGTTACCCACCTTCACCTTAACTTCAGAACAAGAGCGTAGCATTCTTTTAAGGTCTGAATGTCCCCCTCTCTCTGCCAGCCTTTTAGAACTTGGGATGATAATTCAGGCAAATCCCCGGCTTTCTTTTCAAATCAATCAATCAAACTATACTAATAGCCCCGTGGTTGTGTGTGTGATTTTTTGAACTGGGTGCTTTACTTAATGACGGTCTCACGTTTCGTATTTGGGGAGAAATCTAAACCTAATTCAGAGAATAAACTAACAAATTTAGTACCAGAATGGTGGTGGATTCCGTCAAATAAATTGTCTTATATTCTCATTAGGTAATGACTCTAATTGTCGGTTACAAAACTACATTGAAAATTACGTACCAGATTATTCTAGATTATTAAACTGATTGCGAGACATGTTGACCTAAATATTTTTATTTACATACTCCTTCACTCTCTGCATATAACATCTACGAACCAAACACCTAATATAACAATTGGTGATGTAAGGAATAATTTTATAAGGAAAACTTCGCAACAAAGTCAAGTCATGGCGCATTCAGAGGAGTTCTAAAATGCTAAAATGCACATGAAATAGGTAACGTGTAACCCGTCCCACTTGTGCATGATCAACACAAGTGAGACGGGTTCTCAGTAACCCCAGGCAGAGATTTTCCGCCTTTTATGCCATCTCGGGCATAATAATTGAAAATTTTTCTTTTCCTTTTTTGGTGAACGTGGCCCGTGCCTCGCTCTCCACACTCAATTCAGTCTAATCTCTCTACCGAGCAACATCATCTTTTTCTACCCTCTAGGAAATATAATAATTTGGCGAGTTAAATATTATTTAAATAGTAAATAAATAATTATAAAAATAACCACCACTCCCAGTGTTGCTCTACATTAATTGGCACTAGCCGTTATCAACCGAATAGTAAGGGAAACACAAAAATCCAGGGATAGTGAGGATAAGGGAGAGATATTTGAACTCATCCTTCTCACATAAGTTCCCATATTTCATCATAATTCAAACTTTACCGTTACAAACGTAATTGATTACATTGATTATTATTAATTGATTAGTATTAAACAACGACATAGAAAGGTACACTATTTTATTAGGACTAGTCTTTCTATAAATAAGGTTTTTGGGTACGATGACCCATTTTATTATGTCACTGTAAATGTCACACAAGAAACCACTGTGACCAATTAAGTCTTACATACATACACCTATGTTCCAAGACAATTGCCAATGTCGAAGTGTTCGTCTTCCATGACAAAACTCAAAATGCCAATACCCCAGAAATATTCCCATGTTTCCAACTTTTTGCAGGTTTGAAACTGTGTATGTATACCATAAGTTATCTGATTAATCTGCACAACTCATTTTATACTACCCTTGAAGTTATAAATAGTCCACCACAATCACGTCATATGTATTACGGGCCGTAATACATCTTTATTGCCGTAATTTACGGCAATAAATTTTAATTCCATAAACGTCTCATTATTTCACAGGAAGGATTTATATTTACTCGTACACAGTACCAAAAATATATTGATGGTTTACTTCCTTTTTCCTTGTTAAAAAAATGGTCGGCACTATTGACCTTGTAATTCCTGGCAATACAATTTAAATTACATCAGACCTCACTTTGTGGGAAATTACTCAAGACACAAGTTCTTAATTATGGTGATTGTAGTGCAGTTGACACTGCAATGACCCGTAAAGGAAATCAAAAAGAAAAAAATCTGAATGGGATAAATCTCCATGCCAGCACATGGAAGCGAACCTAGAGCATCCTATTTCGGCTTCACGATACAGAGCTTTCGATCCCCGGAAGTACCCATTCTGCCACTGTTCTCCGGAAGATTCCCACTACTAATCTCCCACCCAGGGATTTCTACACATTATCTCTCACCCGTAGTTATTTCTTTCTTTATTTAAGGTTTGTTAAAATTCCACGAGTGTTTTTAAAATATAATTTTGCATAGATACTTCATTCCTTGAAGGTATAAGAACATGTTCATAAAAAATATTGCAGAGCCACACCCATTTTGACTGCACGTAATGAATACTCTCAAAGTCACGTGTGAATGCCGAACCTATGGATATAAATAGTTAGTTTATTGCTGTCGGTACTTTCAACTAATTTGACATTATAATTAGGAAGCCGTGTCGGGAAGCAATGCCCAAATTGAATCATAATTTTCCAAGTATTCTCGATTAGTTAAAATATAACCAGTAAACAACATCCCATACATAACACTTTATTCAAACTTTAATACCTTGCTCGTGGTCATTTAAATAACTTTTGTATTTAATTACTTTATGATAATGATTCCACATGTTGAAATCAGGAAGGTGATAAGTCAATATAACAGTAAACCTTGGTTCTGGGTAAGCAAACTTACCGTATCCATGGCAACCATTGTCATACATTATATGCATATTATAAGCAAATACACAGAACATGGAATTAGGTTGGATACAATTTTGTAAAGTTTGTATTTAAATTACAAAATTTGTCGCTGTTATTAATTGCAATTTATGATCTAAATATATCAAACACCGTTTTGTAATAGCATGGTTGGTTGTGATTACAGATATTACTTATCTGG